TCTCGCCGGGTTTCCACGTGAAATCTGCACTGGCGTGTTTTTTAACAATGGTGTCTTCAGTGTGTTGCTTGTTGATAGAAATAACTTTTGACCAAGTATCAGAGTTCTATCTTTGCTCATTTTTAAAAAAATAGGGTTGCAACCCTTAACTTCAAAATCATTTTTCTATAAAACTATGATAGATATTTGAATAAATCCACCGGCATATGAAAGCTACTGATAACAATTATATTGCATATTTTTTTCATAGTTTTTCAAGTACATAAACAGTGAGAAAAAAAAATTGAAAAAATGAAGGGTGGTTTTTTGTGACTATTTCTCGAGATACACTAACCAAAAAAATCACGTATAATAAGTGAGTCTTAAGCTACAATGCATAGCAGTTACATAGATCTGCGATGGGTGGATCATATTCAAAATAATCATTTTATGTTGCTAGGTACAGTATTGTGAACTGATACTTGTTAGAACTTTAGAATATACCACGACAGTGATGTGTGAGATCTTTGTGAAGTTGCAATATTTGTGTAAGTTTTAACTGACGTATTATACTTACAGATGTTATATAAAAAGATATCGGTATCCGGTTTTGTTATAATTAGTCTGAAAATTAAATCTTTATAGTATGCCTGTAGTCTCACAATGGTACGAATATTGTATCCCAATGTTACCTTGGAACAAATGGAACAAAATCAATTGCGCGTGCGCAAGCTAACAGCTGATCCAGTCAAGCAGAGGTTAAGTTCTACATTGTTCATGGGTGAATGATTCGTTTCTATATTTTAAAAATAATTATAAATAAATATTAAATATGTGACCGAAGATTTTATTGTATGTTGAAAATTAAAAAAATCATTATTGTGAAGACTGGTTAAAATATTCGACAGAGATGTAGAGTAGGGAGAATGCTCTTACAACCTGAGCGTGCGGCTAATAACAATGGTCGCCATTTTGAACATAATGGTTGCCAACACAGATAAAACCCCGCACCAAACATATGGAAATTGAACACCGGTCAATTTTTATGAAACTTCGTATTTTGATAGTCCTCGTCATGCTAATAAAAAGTCTCAATTACAGGTCAGGACTTAGGCTTAAGACTATCAATGGGCACCGAGCCCTGCAACCCCCACCAACCCCACAAAACCACCCCCCAAAGGTCAGGGGGATGCACTTGACAGATTGTCGGTCAGTAAATCTACCGAAATATTTTACTACTGCAGTCGAACCTACAGCCAGGGTTTCACATTCCACAAACAGCAAAAAATATTATGGCAGGTTTTGGTAATTTTGTGTGGGTTAAAGGGTATTAAACAATAAGATGGGCAGCATGACGAGGACTATCAAAATACGAAGTTTCATAAATATTGACCGGTGTTCAAAGATTCAAATTATATGAGCAAAATTTTTTATTTAATAGATTTTTTTTCAGAAATTCTACTGTGAAATATAAAGGTTATCTAGTACAAACAAATAGTCATAATGATTTTACATATTTTATTCATTGATAATTAAATAATATTAACTTAGTTAATTGTTTCCGTATTAGATATCCCTGAATTTTTTCATATTTTTTGCCTAAATTAAAAATTCTTATACGAGCATATGCAGAAACAACATTTTTCATTATACACAATTATAAAATTGTTGTACCATAGAAGTAACAAATACAACCATGAAACCATTTTCATGTGGCAATTTATATTCAATGAATACTAAAAGTCTTCTTATTGCGGTAATTCTGAATATTTTTTCTTGATTTTACCAGGTGGATGGAATTTGTGGATGAAGCGTCGGCTTTATTGCTAAATGGACTTCTAAAAACTGCATCAGGCTTTAGGCGAATTTGACTTTCACGAAACCTGTTGCTTTAAAGTGACATGAACAAACAAATTCGTTCTCCGACCATTTAAATTCGCGATCAAGTTTCAGATTTTTTACCCATTTTATAAACATATCACTCCTTGGAAACTACAAGACAATTTAAACAGTTGTTGCAAGAAATGAATACATAAAACCACTCTTACCGATGAAATGTAATTCCTTTTGGTTTAAAACGCCTTATATTAAAGCATCCCCTCACAGCACATGACATAAAAAAACAATACCTAAACGATAAGCGTTTTTTTCAGTGTAGAAAAGATGTATTGAATATTAAAAAACACAGCGCAAATTTGCCGTTCCAGGCGTAAATTATATGTTTATAAATAAATATTAACTAATAAATAATTCACGAAACATAACCTCACTCATCAAAAATCAAAACAAAACAAAATTCATGTTCAAAATGGCGGCATTGGTATTGTCCCTCGAAAATAGGATGCGCAGAAGCTGAGCTGAGCCTTCTCCTTACTCTATATCTCTGATTCGGACACTTTTTGAATTCGTTGTCTAATACTTCACTGGTCCGGATACAACAATAATTATTAAATATTTTTCACTCTTCTTTGTAGCCTCTGCGTTAAAATGCTTTTCTTGCCAGGGCCCCGGATGTGATACAGACATCGAAACCTGGTCTACAGAGACATGCCCAGCTTTCCATCTAGTGCCAGAGTACCAATTTGCTTGCATAAAATGGAGTTATACAGGTACACAATATATTTAATAGCATCATTTTTTTATTAGCAGTGTAGCAACATCGTAGTAGTTAGTTGTGTAGGTAGATATTCAAGTTCTTGAATTTCACATCTACCTACTATAATCTTGTTACTGTTTTTAAAGATAGTGCACATCCTTTTGTGGCATCTCTTTTCAAAATTAATACATACAGATGCAGTGCCTTTATAAATGCCCGAGTCCCACGTGGCCGCGACTGTTAGGCAACCGAACTTACATTGGAGTCGTTGATTAACACAAAATTCTCTAAAGTCAGAGGATAGTCCAGTGGAGTACATATTACCATTGTATAACTTATACAATGGTAATACATTTCATCACAAAAATTGAACTTTAATCTGCAAAATGTGCTTCTTTTTTCAATAGAAGAAAATATTTTTTTACATTTTTCTTACAAAATAATCATACTCCTCAAAGACATTTTGAATTTTTAACCCATTCTAGATTAAGAAGAATTTTTTTTATTGAAAAAGGTTGTCCTTTTAAAAATATAGCTTCATTTGTAATCCACTTCCATTCGGAGATAATGAAAATATTGTTAATAAAATATAAAAAGTTTTGGTGTTTAATAATTTTCTTTTCAAAATTTAGATATAAATTATAGGTAGTCCAACCAAATTACACTTGGAGAAAAAAAAATTGTTTCCTGGACTTTTATAAGTGGAAATGATAAAAGGACTTATAATAAATCTAAAAAAAATAAATGCGTGAGCAGAGGCGGCGGTGGGTTGATTTGGGGGGTTGAAAAGATGAAAAATTGTATCATTGGGGTTTCTGGCGAAAGTTGACGTCAAACAAAAATGTATCTAATACAAATGTTGTAGATCATGCAAAAATCTACAACTTTTGTAGAGGTTACTTTTTAACATAACCTCAAAATTTCCGAGAAAAATGCGAAAAACTGTTTTTTTTCTGATTTTTCGTTTTTTATTTCTCATTTCCGCAAAAATATTTTAATTTTGACGAAACCTGGTGAAGGTATACCTTTCTCTGTCTTAAATAACCTCAAATTTTTTTAGATAAAAAAATTAAGAAGTTTCTGAGATATTCATTTTTTTCGGCCTGAAACACTTTTTTTTTCAAAGAAAAATTCTACTTAAAAAAATCATCGTACAGAGTTCTGCCGGTAATTATTTTCTTCGTTTTGACATATACTTTTTGGTGAAATAAAAAAATCTGTAATAACATTTCAAAAACATGCTCAAAAATGCAAAAAAAAAATAAAAAATGACGCAACAATGAATTTTACAGTTATTGTTGATAATTTATTTAAATTAAAAAACATTCAAAAACTGATTACACCATTCAATTCTACGGAAAAAAATAAAAAAAAAACTGTGTTTCATTGTTTGACCCAAAACTTAATTTTTGTACAGTATTGCTATAAACATCTAAGTAAGTCAAATTACAAATGCATAAATGATAAATTATCTCTGGATGATTTGAGATTTCAGCAATACAAAGTATTAACGGCAAAGTCTACTATTGACGCGAAATCCGAAAACCCGAAATTTTGCAAAATCGTTTTATTTTTTCTGGCTTTATTTGAAAACGAATTTTTAAATAAATTGCATATTTACATTGCCACTTTTTTCGCTCTATCCAATGGCGTCAACATTTTTGCAATCCGACGTTTCGTCTTCGACGGGCCATCGTCAGATAAATTTTTTTAAATATATCGCTGCTATTTTTATGACAAAATCTAGTCATTTTTAATTCTGTATTAGATGATATTACTATTTTAATCGCTTAAAAAGGTTTTTACCTATCATTAAAAATTTTTCCTGAGTACGGCTCTGAACGCTTTCAAAATACCTGTATCTATTGGAGGAGATAGAGAGAGAGAGAGGAGAGAATAAAAGTCAATACAGCACAAAATATCCAACAACTTTTTTTAATCCATAATTTAAAACGTCCCTAATAAAAAAATAATATGAATTTATGAAATATTTTATTATTTCTAATTAGTATTGCTAACAGTAGTAAAAAATTGTTGTATATTTTGTGCGGTATTGACTTTTATACTGTTATGACTTCATCCAATAGATATTTTGAAAGCGTTCAGAGTCGTACTCAGGAAAAATTTTAAATTATACATAAAACAAGCTAAAAACTTTTTAAGCGATTACAATAGTTATATCCTCTAATTTAGAATTAAAAATGACTTTAAATTTTGTCATAAAAATAGCAGCGACGTATTTAAAAAAATTAATCCGATGATGGCCCCTCGAAGACGAAACGTCGGATTGCAAAAATGTTGACGCTATTGTATAGAGCGAAAAAAGTGGCATTGTAAATATGTAATTTATTTTAAAAATCGTTTTCAAATAAAGCCAGAAAAAATTAAACAATTTAGCAAATTTAGGGTTTTTCCGGATATTTCCGGAACTACCAGGAATTTTAAACTTTCTAAATAGCATATTGTTAGGTATAAAAAATACAACTTTTTTCTAATCTGAGCCACCCTGTATATTTTACCGTTTCCTAGATCCTAATGCTATCCCATCCTTATCTTGGACACACTGTATATGTATGAATTCATCAAATTTAAAAAAAATAAGTACACTAATCGATCCTACGGAAAAAAAATTATTATTTATTTTATTTATTCACTATTCGACTTATAGCAATACTGTATAAAAATAGTTTTGGGTCAAACAATGAGACAGTTTTTTTTTTGTATTTTTTCCGTACAATTGAATGGTGTAATCAGTTACTGATTTTTTTTAAATTAACAACAATTACTGAAAATTTCATTGCTGCGTCATTTTTTATTTTTTTTTATTTTTGAGCATGTTTTTGAATTGTGATTGCAAATTTTTTTATTTCACCAAAAAGTATATGTGAAAATGAAAAAAATTATTATCGGCAGAACTCTGTACGATAATTTTTTTAAGTAGAATTTTTCTTTGAAAAAAAAGTGTTTCAGGCCGAAAATTGAATATCTCAGAAACTTCTCGATTTTTTTTTCTAAAAAAATTTGAGGTTATTTAAGACAGAGAAAGGTATACTTACACCAAGTTTCGTCAAAATTAAATTATTTTTGGGGAAATAAAAACAAAGATCAGAAAAAAAACTGTTTTTCGCATTTTTCTCGGAAATTTTGAGGTTATGTTAAAAATGACTTGTACAAAAGTTGTAGATTTTTTAATGATCTACAACTTTTGTATTAGATACTTTTTTGTTTGACGTCAACTTTCGCCAGAAATTCCAATGATACAATTTTTCATAACTTTTCAACCCCCAAAATCAAACCTCCGCCGCCCCTGCTCACGCATTTATTTTTTTTTTCGTTTGTTATAAGCCCCTTTACCATATCCACTTATAAAACTCCAGGTAAAAATTTATTTTTTTTCCCCTCTAAATGAGTTAATTTGATCGGTCTATACCTAAATAAGTTAATTTAGTTTACAACGCTAACATAAACAAAACATTTTTTACTCAGCTATCAAAAGCTTATTACATTAATAAAATTTATAATAGATGTTCAAAATGCCTTTCATGCATTCAAAAACGCTTCTCGGGAAAAAGTTAGGCCTATTATACGTCTTCTTGTAAGTTGCTAATAAATAATATAAATGCTTTTTAAGGATGTAATTTTATATATACCTACTAAATATTATACAAAACAACTTTCTAGTATTCGAAATATTTTCTGTTTGCAGACGAAACAACACAGACGAAGGTGGTGGAAAGGATGTGCCTTGCTGTCGAGTTAAAAGACGGAAAACCAAACTACAACTGTGAAAAGATCTTCGGTTATCAAACTGAATGTTCAGGGTGTCAAACTGACTTTTGTAATTCTGCGAAAAGCATCAGTTTCAGCTTTGTGGCACTTTGCGGGTTGTTTTGGCGATTGCGGCGCCCAAGCTTTTGTAAAATCGCCCCACCCCTTCTCTAGCATGATTCGTGGGAAATAGAATGAGTCCTGCAAGTCGTGTATATGTAGTGATAACTATAAAATGATTTTGTTAACTGTTTACTTTTATTGTGTAAATGTACCTAGTACGACGTTTTTTATTGTAATGCAACTTAAGGTATAACCGTTTATAATTAATATTAAATGTCAAATTTCTTTGATAACTTTAATTTTGTGATAGGGTCCCTCGTTGGGCGCCATGTCCTCTAATTACATCATTCACTGAGGAAGTACCTCTCATCTGGGGAGAAACGGCATTTTTACCGAGCTCCGCGTGTATTGCGCCGGCAAAGGGGCAAACGGCAAACGGTATTTTCGGATGTTTCCCTCATCACGCCAACTTCAACGGACGCATGGATGGGGGTGTGGACATCGCGTTGGCCGATTGTCCTCTATTAGAGATGAAGATTCCTAGAAATTTGGGCAACTATCCAATTAATTTGCTTTTCTTCGACTCTTGTCGGGAACTTATTCTTTTTAAATAAAATTTTGGACAAATCGTTAAAAAAAACAGAACAATATTGCAATAATTTGGTACAAGTAAGTTTTCTTCGACGAAATTTGAAAAAAATCCCTAGTCATTTTCCTTAAAATCGCTTCTAAACACATGGCAGAAGATTCAGCAAGTACATCTAAAAGGTAAGTAAAAAGCTTTAAAGGAACATCCTGGTTCTTAGTGAGCCACACTGTATACTGTATATATAGATAGATGTTCAGATCGATGGCTATTAACATGTAAAACTAGCCTTAGTAGCAAAATTACATAAAAAATCAGACCGATTCATAGACAGTTATTTATTGACCGATTGTTGTTGTGCCATCACGTTGATTTCCTTCTACACCCACAAAAACACCCATTTTTTTTCGCTTGTTCGTCCTTTCTTGGCAAATCTGTAAACTACAACCGATTTGCGTGAGGATATAGCTGGACATACACGATCGATCTTGTCCGTAGGAAAGAAAGTTTCTGACTGAAAATATGGAAGTGTTCGGAAACTATGACGAAATGAATTAGGCGATGTTTTACTATTAAAAACAATGGCACAAACCGAGGTTCTGGTACTTCTTCGGAATTTCATAACTATTTTTATTAATATTCTGATCCCTTAGTTACGCCGTAAAATGTTCTGTACTTCTTTTAACCATCTGTCACTTTTGACTGATGTATCTGTATCTAATTAAGGTTACTAAGTACCACAAATTTACTTTGCTTACCAACTCATGCGAGTCGCGTAATATAAAATAAAAAAATAATGTAGATATAAATAAATGTAGCTAATTTGGTAGTAAGTCCATTTTTATGGACTCTGAACATTTGAATAAAAAATGCATGCCGCAAAGGGTTAATGGGTATTCTGGAAAATTATGGCGGGCCCCACATATCAAAAAGAAATATATGAACAAGATTAAAGTTTTGCCTGCAAAATACTAGAATGACCTTCAAATGACTTTTGAAACTTAAGGTCATGATCAAGGTTATATCCGGAAGCAGAATTCTCCGCACTTTCTATTTTGGTCAGAAAGATACCGGTTTTTACTCGAAAAATTAACTTGACCATGAAATGACCGTGAAAGTCAAGGTCAAGGTCAATGTCATAGATAGACGTGTAATGGCCCGCTCTTCTGATTTCTGGTCTCAAAAGTAGAATTTTGCAACAAAAACTAAAATGACCTTCAAATGACCTTGAAGGTCATGGTTTTTTCTGCAAATTTTCTGCCTTTTTCATTTCTGGTGTCAAAAATATGCGTTTCCATTTGAAAAAATCAACTTGACTTAGAAGATCATGGTCGAGGACACCATTAGATGTCCCCCTCAAAACCCTACAACTTTTATTTAAAAAAATTTTTCATTAAGCCCTTAACTTGAAAGATATTCACGTGTATATTTTAAAATGGGACACCCGGTATAAATGCAAATATTTCGATAACCAAGGGAGATATCGAAAATTAACAAGAGTGACTTTTTTATGAAACAAGGACGTTCTTACACATTTTCAATACATAATGTCCGTAATTCTAAAAGCAAAAAAAAAAAATTCCATATTTGTCAAAGGAATAGGGCATAACTGATGTCATATACAAACAACGCCAAAATTAGTTAAAAATTCTTTAATTGTCATGTCAAAAAACATAATAGTGCCAATTTTTTGTTCACACTCTTCAAAATTACTGAAAAATTTCAAAATACAATTCAAACATTGAACACCCTGTATCTTTGAATCCAGCAACATTTGCATAAGATTTATTTGGCTCAGACGACATATTTTGGCCACCTATAGTCTGTTTAGAAATGAAAGAGAGTAATAAAAGCTCATTATGTATGCAAATCGTAGATAAATGTAGTACTGGTGCTTATATTCAATATTTTTGTATTATGTATAGATGAGGTGTACTTTTAAAAAATCTTTGTGTGACCGGGTTGTACTAAATTGTGGCAGGTAGCTAAAATTTAATCCCCGACAATCCGTCTTTGTCTATGCCGCCTCAATTTCTCGGTCCATTTTTCTTATAAGTAAACAATATAAAAACAGCATTTCTAAACATGAGGCTACTTTAAGCATCATAACCGGGTTAAGAGGGTTTTTAGTAATTCAAATAAAATGATTTAATATTATTATTAAAATATTTATTTCAATTTAATGAAGACTTTTATTCCACACAAAAATATATGTATTTTGAAAATTCAAATTATGGTGAGTAAATGTAGTGTTGTATAAATGTACAATAAAGAAAATAAAAAAGTAGGTATATTAAAATTCATCCTCTGAATATTCTGATGAATTCGTCTCCTAGATTGATAACGATAGGTTCCACAGTAACGTCAATTAAATTATCGAGTTCCCACATTTTCTCCTCTTCTTTTTGTACATGATGTATACATTTTTGCCAGTTATCTGCAGTTACTCGTTCCAAGGAATTTTTTAACAAAATTTTCACGTCACTTAATTTAAACGCCGTATTATTTCGCGCTACATCTCCTTTTACCTGCGCCCAGACTAATTCGATTGGGTTAAGTTCACAGTGATAAGGTGGTAACCGTAGTACCGTTATTTGGCGATTTGTTGCCATTTCATCGATAACATATTTTTTCTGATCTTTATTAAGATTGACAAGTGTCAAAAGTTCCTTTTTCACCATATTTGTTTCAAAAGAAATGTTTTTTCCGGATAACCATTGAATTATATCGGCTTTCCTCCAAGCAGTCGTAGGCGTCCGCTCGGTCTGCCGTTAATGGTAACTGGCATTATCCATGACAATTACAGACCCCGGAGGAATAAGATCCAACATCTGTGTAAAATACTCTTCGAAAACATCTGCGTTCATGTCTTCGTGATAGTCACCTGTATTTTTAGATTCAAATAAAAGTAAGCCGCCATCTACGAAACCACTGGCACTACCTATATGTGTCGCTATTAATCTTCGCCCTTTACCTGAAGGTGCCTTGAACCCTGTTGAAAGTCCATCCAAAAATGTTTGTCGAAAAACTTTTTACATTTTTATCTTGCCATACTTTTGTTACAGTATATCCCTCGTTGACCCAAGTTTCGTCTAGATAATAAATATTCCTTCCTTCGTCACGGAATTTTCTAATTGATCTTAAGTAGGATCTTCGCCGACAAATAATTTCATCTTTATCGATAAGAACCGACTTCCTGTTCTGCTTTTCCCAGCAAAAATTCAATTCTCGTAAGATGGCCCATAATTTGCTTCTACTGATTTTTGGCAAATCGTTGTCCTCTGAAAGTTCACTTAAAATTTTGTTTAGCGTTGGTATTTCTTTTTTAAAATAAAATGAGTGTACTTTAGTCACTAAACACAAGTCGAATTTTGCTCTGCTCCACTAGCACGTCTTCGTATATTCAGCTCTAAGACTGGATTGATCTGTCACAATACACTGGCTCCTGCCCTATGATGTATCCAGTAAAAAATACTAATGTACACCCATTACCTGTTAGCATTAGTGTTACCCTTTAATTACCTGAAACGAAATATTAGCACGCCCATGGCCGGTTCTTATCTCGGGGTTTTATTACTCTCTTTCATATCCAAACAGAGTATAGCTTCGAGATTTCCCAACATTTCGCAGGCACCCTGTGAACACCGCGTGAAAGAACGACGCTAATGAACGATCGTGTACGGCCAGCTTGCGCGTAATGGACGGCTGAGCCTCCAACGAAAATTCCGCGTTCTGGTCACATGGCCAAGCGGCTCCTGCTACTTCGAATGTTGCCGAACCCACGAGTTTTACACTAGAGTGGTAAGGTAAGAGAAGAATATCGAGGACACTACACTACGAGTCCACGCAGTACAGCTCTAGCGACATCTTAATAAATACATTGTTTAAAAGGAAACCATGGCGAAACTTGTGCTCTTGTTCGTGTGTGTGGCAGTTTTCCAACTAGGTAAGCGTTTTGTTGCTAATTTTTTCCTGCTGTACTATGCGTATTGAAAGTTTCCTGACTCGAATTCCATCGGGTATTATTTTAGGACGGCGCAAATGTTTTTATGCTGGTACGATTTTAGAAACCTCTTTTAAGTGACCACTGAGCAAGTCCACCTCGTATTAAACGATGTATACTAATTAAGAAATTAATTAATGACATCACGTATTGTCCTTAGAACGCCACTGTAACTGCTTATTTTTATTATGTCTACGAGTAGAATATTCTAGCAACGGTTGTTGGAAAGTTACCTGGTCAGTTCGTGCGATTCGAGTAGGTATAGGTATACATTTTTTTATAGCCGTGTAAGTGTTAAAGATACATAACGTAAAAACAGCAAAATTTCCTTATCGATAAAATAAAATTAAAATTGACCATGATTAACAAAAAGTACGTCTAGTATTTTTTTCCTTAAAAACTGGTAATACTTCATAGGACAAATTTATTTGTGGAGCTTGATAAAACCAACGGCCTGGGATTATTCTTTGCCTTAAAAGTGTTTCAGTGGAATAGATTTCCATGACATTCAAATGAGGTAACGGTGCGTAAAATTATTTCAGTACTTTGCGCTTTATATTGAACTCGTATATACAACTTGAAAGGTGTAAACAGAACTTAAAAATAGCTTCGAATAGCTTGTAGATGTTTGTAGATTTTTTGAAGAAATACCTCTTTAAAATTGTATATCAAAATTTAAATAAAGCCAAATTGTTTGCGCTATGGTAAAACCTCTGCCTCTTTATTATGGTTATTGTGAATCAGGCTATTATTTTTGTAATAAAGGTATTTGTGAGAAAATAATATTAGATTTTTTTATAAACACCTGAAAATGATAAAAAACAACAAATTTTCTGTAAAAAGACATTGGTTCAAACATTAGACATTTTCTTAAATAAACCACGTCCAAAATTCTGTATGAAAGTTAAAAAAGCAGGTCTTCTCTAAAAGCGTTTGTTTGTTCTATGGTTATCGTGGTCATTGTGATTCGCGCTAGTATTTATTTCACAATAAAAATGTTTGTGGGGAAAATAACTTTTATTTCTTGGTGTTTCAACTTAACTTACTATTAATAATGACTTAAAAACAAACCTTGCACTTGATAAATGAGGTCATCAATTCTTGATATTCCAAGCCACTAGATACCTGCAGGAATATAAATTATTATAACAGATGTTTTTAAGAATGATAAAGTGGTCATTATATACAGGGTGTTTCAACGAACAGGGATTATTCTGTAACTATGTAACTGTAAATTTTTTAAAAAAAAACGGTTTTAATAAAATTTGTCTGGGATCATCTGGAAAATATTTTTAGCTTTCCATTTCGCGCAGGCGCTACATAACTTTGTTATTTTAAATGGAACACCCTGTATATTGTTGCGTTTTTTAATTCCTTAGTTAATATTAGGTGTAGAGTTTATTGAATGTACATGGTGTTTAAAACTTACCGTTTTCGAGATAATCAGTTGGTTTTGAAAAAAATCGCGATTTCAGCTCTCTAAATGAGGCTAGATAGCGTCTAACCGTAAGAGTTAGAAACCTGCAGTTTTCACAGTTCGTTTTGGCATAAATTACTCTATCTTGTCATCTGTGAGCAAATCGTGTACGTTATTCAAGCTCGGAAATACTGAGATTTACATTTAATAATCTTACGAGTTGAAAAACTTTTTTTTTCAAATGGAATGACCCATATTAATTGTCATACATTAATGCAAAATTGAATGCCCTTTCAACTGATATAAGGTTGTCCATACTTATCTCTAACAGTTTTCTAGAAAAATTAGGTTCTTTTCTAAAGTCCGAAAAAATAGTCTCTGCTGAAATCGTGATTTTTTTCAACTGATTATCTCGAAAACGGTAAGTTTTAAACACCATGTACATTTAATTAACTCCGCCTAATATTAACCAACGAATTCGAAAAAGTAAATACAGGGTGTTCCATTTATAATAGCAGTTATGTAGTGTCCACCCTGTAAAGCTAAAAATATTGTCTTTACATGGCAGGCAACTTTTATTAAAACCATTTTTATTTATAAATTTTACAATTAGAGTTACAGAAGAATCCTTAGGTGGAACACCCTGTATATCTGCTCAGAACAAAAATAAAGTAAGAATTTAACCTACACCTTCATTATCAATAAATAGGTCTTTATGTTTTGATTTTGACTCCAGTTATGGACAAATATTATTGTTTCATGTGTTTTTGAATGATATAAAATCTGTTCAACAGTTGGATGTAAATATGAAAAGAAAAAATATCACTTGGTATATGTACTAGGCGAAATGTAACTTTCCCCTTATTTACAGGGTACTGTGCCACCTGTGAAAAAAATTAAAAAACAATTAAGTAAACGCCAGCCCCAATAGGATCAGTCAGAGCTATTTTTGTGAAAATAGTTTTGTGTAATCAACAGCCACACTACAAAAATTCCATCACTCACTTTGTTGTTAATTTTTCGAAAATCTATCTGACAATGACATTTCGTTTTTAATCATTTTTGACAGTTTGAATTTGTTTTAACTCAAAATTAATTAAACGCGCGATATATGTTTGTGGGTATTTTTGTGTTTTGCTTTGTTCGCTTTTTTCAATGAGATTTTCGATTAGGCAGAACTTTTTTCACAAAAAAGCCCTCGAGTATTAAAAAATTCATACAGGTGGTAAAATATCCAATATGGAAGAAACGTCCAAATAAATAACAATAACCGAATTTCTTGTAATTGAAATTACGTTTTCACATTTAGAAACCTTCAAATTTATTTTATCTAGGCCTCGCTTTCCAAATTGAACTTTTGATCTGAATACCAATCGATATTTATTAATTTAACGTTTATTTATAGCTCCCGTTTGTTTTCCCCTATATATCGACTATTTATTAATTTCGTATGAATCCAAATTCGTAATAATTTTCATAGCAATGTTAGCTACCGTGACACACATCGTCGAATTGTAACATTGAAGGTATGGTCGCTAAATTATGCATCAGATAAAGGGTATGACATCATCTAGTCGGTACCAGGTTATTCCCTCACCTAATGTTTTTGTTTCGCGAGAATTATTCACCGTTGGCAACTTTTTCTCCACCTGTTTTGAACGAATGTTGAAAAACCTTACTATTTAGAATCAACTCACGCGCAGTGGTTACAAAAAAATTGCATGCTACTCTAACTATAGATCGAATTACAAAATTGCCTCGTTGCACAACTGTGATGAGCAACACGAATAATCAAACTGGCAAGTATTAGTTTACTTGAGCGAAAAAATGCGACTGCAGCAACAAAATAACTTTTGTCTGTATTTACTTATTTGAGGCATTTTTGTGTTGCCGCTTTTCCGCAATACTCAAAATACAGGGTGTGTCAGTTTTAATCTATGAGCAGTACGGTGGCCCAAAAAACAATTATTCTTTTTTTCATGTTTTGTGAAAATATGTTAGTTTATCATGTTTTAAGAGCCCCCTCAAAAAATCAGCTGAAAAAAATTTTTTTTAGAAGTAGCTCAAGATTTAAAAAAATTTCCAAATTCGTCAAAAATGTAATTTTTTTTTAATTTCTTTTCCCATTATTTTATCATTTTCTAGGTTGAAAAAAATCTCGATTTTGAAAATTTCAAATTTCATTTCTAAAGGTCACTCATTATTATTTTAACTTGAAAAGTACTGTACCTAAAATGTTTTCGAGCGACCTCTAAAAATAAATATCACCGAACTAATAATTTTTTTATTGAATTTGATGAACAAAAGAATAGAAATAAAGACACTTAGAAAATTTCTCGAGGCAAAATTTAGTACCGCACTCCGAGTATCAAATATTTATAATTTTTTAATTTTTCTATTGTTCATCAAATTCAATAAAAATTATAGTTCGTTGATATTTATTTTTTAGAGGTCGCTCGAAAACATAGATACACTACTTTGTAACTTAAAGTAATTATGAGTGACCTTTAGAAATCAAAATATCGATTTGAAATTTTCAGGATCGAGATTTGTTTCAACCTAGAAAATGGTAAAATAGCGAGAAAAAAAATTAAAAAAAAAATAAATTTTTGACGATTTTGGAAATTTTTAAAAATCTTGAGCGACCTCTAAAAAATTTTTTTTTGAGCTGATTTTTTAAGGGGGCTCTTAAGGAGGTATATCGGGGTCCGAAGGAAGTGAGGAGCGCAGGGGGGTCCCATGCTTTTCTTATGGCCGCTGCCAATTTGAAAAAATTAAATTCTATTGAAATTATTTGCGAAAAACATTATCTATATAGCAAATAAATCTACTCATATGCACATAGCATACATATTGACTAATTAACAACATAAAAATATATTTAAGTAGTTTTAATGAACGACTAAAGACTATGTAGATGGGGCAACAGCGCTAATAATCGACTAGCAGTTGTACACCTGCGAACCTACAAACCTCGGACATCGGAGATATTGCGCGTCAAATTCGGGTAAAGATGCGTACGCGTTCAAAAATGTATTGTGTGTAAACTATGTACAATATAATTATTATATACAGGGTCGGAAAGTCCCCACGGTTCATCGGCCGTTGCGTGAGAGCGATAAAGAAAGTCATAGAAATCCGTGCGATAGAGAAAGATGGCTATAATGAAGGCGTCTAATAGTCACCGCCCATTTTGCCCTTCCACAAATAAGATCCACTTCTTATTATTATGCAGAATTAATGCAGAACGGTAAACAATTTTCTTTTCCAATTTCTTACGAAATATTGTGTATTTACAATCAAGTGTCCTTCTTCTTGTACAAATAACTTTCTTTTTACATTCTCGCTAAGTCAGTCCTTTATTCCAACCCCCAACATCCACCCTTCCTTTATGAAAAATAAACCGCGAAACGAAAGCGCCAGCGTGACGCGTACAATTCTCGTTAAACTTCGATCGCATTTAATAATAACTCTCGATTGTTGTATTGTATAAAAGCGACTACCCGGCCCTTCATGTGGAAAGGGAGAGCAAAGTTTTCCGCTGTCAAAAATGTTACTGAAAACGCGAGGTTAAAGTTCGATAACTCTACTTATTTATGTAAATTATTAACAACGTAAACTCAAACCAGGTCATTTCTCTAACGTGTTTCAATTTCCAATTCCACTGGTTTTCTCTTGTAAATTAAATACGATGCCTAAAAATTGGTCTTTTTTTTGTCGTGCATTTGGGGAAATATTCTTTATTTTCTTTGTTACTTTGGAAAAAGTTAAGGTGACTATCAACAGCGCAAAATTTACAAAAATCGATGTAATTTCAAAGCTAGAAATTTGTAACACAATAAATAAAAGTTATAAATAATAATGACACATTCATTATCGGGATCTAGAAATCCTAGAATATTCAATCGCTTAAAAAGGTTTTTAGCTTGTTTTAACCATCATTTTTCCTGAGTACGGCTCTGAACGCTTTCAAAATATCTATTGGAGGAAGTCATAACAGTATAAAAGTCAATGCAGCACAAAATATCCAACAATTTTTCAATAATTTAAAAAGGTTGTAGGTACTTAAAAAAAATAATAATACGAGTTTATGAAATGTTTTATTATTTCCAATTAGTATTGTTAATAGTAGTAAAAAAATTGTTGGATATTTTGTGCTGTATTGATTTTTATACTGTTATGACTTCCTTCAATAGATATTTTGAAAACGTTCAGAGCCGTACTCAGGAAACATTTTAAATGACGGCTAAAACAAGCTAAAAACCTTTTTACCCGATTACAATAGTAATATCATCTAATTCAGAATTAAAAATGACTAGATACTGTAATAAAAATAGCAGCAACGTATTTAAAGAAATTAACCCGATGATGGCCCCTCGAAGACGAAATGTCATATTGCAAAAATGTTGACGCCATTGAATAAAGCGAAAAAGTGGCACTGCAAATATGCAATTTACTTTAAAATTCGTTTTCAAATAAAGCCAGAAAAAATAAAACGATTTTGCAAAATTTTGGGTTTTTCCGGATTTCTGGGGAACTACCCTGAATTTTAAAACTTTCTAAACGGCGTATTGTTAGGTATAAAAAAACACAATTTTTTTCTAATTTGAGCCACCCGTATCTCTTGCACACACTGTATAATCTGAAATTTACACATGTTGTAATTGAATACCTTTACTTCAATATAAAAAATAGTCTGCAATGATTGACCCCCTTTTTTCACAGTAAACTTAATTTTGTTGGGCTCCCTAGAACTTCTCTATCCAAGGACACCGAAAACGGTTGAATGAGATCAAAGTGCCGACAAGTGAAACTGCTGATTTACATGTATATATGGCTTTTAAATAAAGTGTCAGTTGCTTTACGGAAAATGAAGATTTAAAAACGTCTATGTTACACAGTTTTTTGTTGCTTTTTATTTGTCGTTCTCCGTTGACCTTGAAAATAACCAGAATTATTGTTATGTCGTAAACCCTAAAAATCCTAAATAATACAGTTGTTTAAATCTTTTCTCGTTGTAGAAAATACCCTTTTGTGGTTACTCGCTTCGAAGTTACGCCGGGGTATCGGTAGCGTTAAGAAATCGATGATTTTTGTGAAAATGAGGGCGCCTTGACTCCAGAGAGTCTAGACGTTGGTACTCAGGGCCGTTATGAATGTTCTGGTGCACAGATACAGCGTGTACTTTTTTTTATACGTTCATTGAAAACGAAGGCATTTTTCGTAAAATTTTAAAAACAAGTAAATGTATTCAAATAAAAAATAAAATCGAAATAAGTCAGGTGCTCACTTTATATTTTATTTCAGAGGACCAAAATTTCTGGAATTTGTTTTTTTCTTGAAAAATTTATTTTATATTTTCGAATACCTAGCCTGGCACTAGCCACTAGGTTTGCCACTATAAATAATACATTATACAGAGCCTTAAAGTAAATATAGAGTCGTAACATCCTTCAAAGAGATATAGAAAAAAAAATGACTAGTGATTAAAAGCAGCCTTTGTGCACTAACATGAAAAAACGAAATAACCGATAAGAAAAAAATGTTAAGCGAAGGCGTTGAAATAATAAAATTGTAGGTACTGATATATTTTTATGAGGTAAGCAATATCAACAGAACAGTCGAATTATTTTACATTTTGCGATTAAACGTTACTAGAAATTATTTTTATAAAAAAATCTATAGACTGTTTCCGTTTTTAGAAAAAGCTGATAACATGGATTCTAAATATTTTTACAAAACATATTGTTTTTCTCTGAAAAGAACTAGTTTCTTTTTATGTTGAAATTTAGTTAAAAACACTCAACTTTTTTTTTGTATGGATACCTCATATTTTGTTTTTCTGTTGTTTTAGACAAAGTATATTTCTTTACCTTTTGTTAATTTGTTCTTGAGCTCTACTAACTTTAGATTTGAGCGCATTCCGGTCCCGAATATACAGGTTTGGAAAGTCCCCATGGTACATCGGCCGTTACATGAGAGAAATCCGTGCGATAGACAAGGATGGTTAGATTGAAGACGTTTCATAATCTGAATAGTTCTAATCCGAAACGGGCGGTGACTATTCAGATTATGAAACGTCTTCACTATAGCCAACCTTGTTTATCGCACGGATTTCTTTACTTTACTTTGTCGCTCTCATGTAAAGGCAGATGAACCATGTAGATTTTCCAGCCCTGTATAAATTTTATTAAAATTTACTCTTTAAGATTTATTCTGGCAAGATATACCGGAAAAAATTTAATAAGTGCTTTTTTCAATTGATTTCCGACTTTCCATCCTTTGTTTTACTGTTTAAAAATTTTCAAACAATTTTTTTAGATTCAAATGCTATGGTCCAAGTTCAAACACTAAATTCGAGAGTTCAAACACTAAATTCGAGAGTCCAAACACTAAATTTGAGAGTTCAAATGCTAAATTCGAGAGTTCAAACACTAAATTCGAGAGTTCAAACATCAAATTCGAAAGTTGAAGTACAATATTTCGACACCAAACAAAATTGTATGTCTAAACACTAAATTTCGAGTTTAAATATCAAATTTTCGTTTCACATCGATGAAAAAGCTAAATGAAACTCCAGATACAAAAAAATCAAATTCTAAAAATTTTCCGGGCACCTACTTTTGAGTTTCCAAAAGCTTTCCTTGCTTACTTAACCACTTTGTCAATGAAACCAGTAGTTTGCTTTTATGTTGAAACACTTTGAACTTTTTTCTTTCTGTTATTTATTCATGAAAAATTATATTTTTTTCTGTTTCTTGTTTTAAACAAAGTATATTTCCTTACCCTCAGTTAATTTGTGCTTGAGCTCTACTAATTTTAAATTTGAGGGCATTCCGGTCCCAAATACATACAGGGTCGGAAAGTCCCCATGGTTCATCGGCCGTTACGTGAGAACGATAAAGAAAGTCATAGAAATCCGTGCGATAGAGAAAGATGGCTATAATGAAGGCGTCTAATAGTCACGCCCATTTCGCCCTTCCACAAATAAGATCCACTTCTTATTTGAACTCAAATACTAAGTTATTTCACACAAACGCAGAAAGAGATGACCTCCAAAGCGGAGGTTTCCTAAAGCTTCCTTGCTTAACCACTTTATCAATTAAACTAGTTCCATTATACTACTCGTACACTCCATAGGGCTTTTCGGGAACTGCGATAATGATTCGAAAAGTAAACCATTTTACGTTAAAAGTGTTTAATATTAAATGCATGTGCTATGACTGTTGTCAGGAATTAGACACTTATATTTGTTAATATAAATAAATGCAAACATACTTCCTGAAATCGGAAAACAGATATTATTATCCCTGTACCACTACTAATCCTAATAGCAACTGGTATTTTTTTTTCAGCCAACGCCTTACAATGTTACCAATGCGAAAGAGAAGGGTGCGAAAAGGAAATGAAAGACTGGCAAAAATCGCAGTGTGGGAAGCTTGCAGATACTAAACTTACTAATGTCTGTCTGAAGCAAGTATACAAAGGTAAATATTCATTCCACTGTACTTTTATTTTCGGCTTAGTTGAGCTTACAACAGTGATGATTTCTAATACCTAATAACAAAATTTAACTACGCAGCAAGGTGATATTGATAAATACCATGGTACAAAGGCTAGATATGATATTTTCGTGAACTAAAACCTGTTCGTTTGGCGTATGACGTCATGTGGAGAGTGATTTAAGCGGTACAATAGTAAAGTTTAAGCTAATAGTTTACGGTTACGAATCTAATAGGCATTATTTTTTCGATTTAACAACTTCTGGAGTAAATTACCAATATAGTTCGATGTTTCAAAATGCCTTGAACAAATCCGAGATGTATATTTTTACGTCCGCAATCCTCAACCAAGACCAAGATTATTAAAACGTTTTAATTATTTGGAAAAAATTAATAGACAATGATGTTAATCATCACAGGAATCAAAAGTTTCACAATCACACGTAATACAACACGAAAGAAAAACTATAAAGATAGGTTACCATTATTAACGATACTGCGGAAATTATCCACCAATCGTTATTTACTCTCCGCGTGACGTATGCGGGTATGCGCAATATCATATCTCTTTGTCTTTGTATCGTGGACAATTGCTATAATTTCCATTACAAACCTTTTTACTATTAACAATCCATCCAATGTATTGTAGATTTACTCTTAAACAACGCGCTAATACTGGCTATTGTCAACACTGCCAACTTAGGGACATAATAAGGCATGCCAGTATTGCGACTAACCCAGAACTGATTATTGGCCGCCACTGCAGGAAAACGAAAAGAGAAAACCGCAAGATCAGTCAATTTCACACATATTTTTTAACGTTATATGAATATTTTATTTTTCTCAATATTTTTTATTAAAAAAGTTTTTCGATATCACTTAGCGTTCAAATGATATAAAATGATATGTATAGAGAAACATACTGGTTCGATCAAGTCTGTTACTGATTTGATTTTGTCAGCGTTTCCGTGGAAAACAAGATAGTTTGATTGTTTTATATTCATTATTGATATAAATAATTTCTCTCTTTTTAATAAATGCAGTAAATTTGCACAGAAATAATTAGTACATGTCAATAATGAATATGAACGTATAAAGTATTGTTTTTGACTTGATCTGCTATTGCTTAATTTCTCTTTACATACCCTTTATCGCCTTATATCTTTTGAAACTGACGAAATATCGAATATTATAATAAAAGTAGTTGAGAGAAAAAAGAACTTTCGCATAAAAAATTATTCATGAAATTGGAAAAATAATTTCGATGACGTCATTTTCTCAGGGCGATAAGTCAAATATTTGTATCATAATTACGTTTGCGGTTTCCTGTTTGGGATTTCCGTTTTCCTATTATGTTTCTAATTTTAAAGTTTCCAACAAATACGTCAAGAAAATAATTATGCTATTTCTTGACTATAAGTTTACACAAAGAGTAAAAAAACGTGTTAAAATAACTTTTAGCAAAGCAAAAAATATTTCAACAAATAAGGAAAAATTCATTTGGCCATTTGTCGGAAACATTTCCTTTCCGAGATATAGGGTGTTCAAGATCTATATTTGTTTATATCTACCAAATTGATTTACATATACATAGATTGATATGGATATAAATTGATATATGTTAGAGAGTATTATTTACTAAGTTGACACAATTTGAATATGGTTATGAATAATTCAGGGGAGGAGATTCGGGGGTATCGTCGATATTATTTGAGCAGCACTTCTACGCCACTGAAATTTCCGCAAAAATAGATCCATTTTCTAAAAGAACAAAATTACTCATCTCTTTTCTTATTTGTTGGAGTATCTTTTCTTTTAATTTTTTTGACAACTTTTTTAACACCCTGTATAACATTTTACAGAGGATATCGTTATGGAAATTATTGAAAGATTTGTTATTTCACGTCACAAAATATTTGGATTTGAACATTAGTGAAAAGCTATGCTATCATCACTGACATACGAAAAAAATTACTTGTAGGTTTTGATAGTGCAGACTGCTCAGCTTTCTAGATCTAGCAGCTGGTATTTTCCAACAAACAAATAACAGAGTAAAAAAAAATTTGAATTTTTATCATAATGAAAGTGCCTACGAGTAAAGTATCGGCAAAATCGGTTCTGTAAAGGAAAACTGACGCTGGGAGACGATATTTTTATACTGCGTCTATAAATACATCCACCTAAGTGCTTTTGTCCTTGAAATTAGATTAATGTTAAATGCATTACACTATATTTGTTAAAAGTTCAATGATAATTAAAAATATTGAACGTTTATTGGTACGTTAGATGTATATACAGAGTCTTGATAAAAAATTACAAATCACATGATCAGTGATTTCGGTAAATTTAAATCGATAAAATCAGTATTGCATTAAAAGAAAACATTCTGTAATGTCTGTAATTTTTCACGAGATTTTATCTAACCAATCAGCGGTCGCATTATCTCGAGCGTAAACGTAACAGTTTGTCATTGTTTATTGTAAATGATTCAATAAGATTTAGGGATTTTTGGATGATTGTACCAATAGTGCAATGTTGGTTGCCTAAGTTCGGCAGTCAAGTAGCTTGACTCATTTATGAAAACTTTACCAAAATCATTTTTGTATTTGAATTTAAAAAATAAATTCACTTATTACTGTTATTTCAAAATGCTATATTTAATACTAATAAAAATATACTTCTATTTAAGTAGTACAGCTTTTTTTAAAGTGCAATAATCAATGCTTGTGCAGAATATTTTTTGAGCAATCTAAAATATTGAAGATAATTTTATAAAATCGCAAAAACATCTCTTGTTTCAAAAAATATTTTTTTTGTGCACGTCATAATTGGATTGATTTTTTTTACCACAACTGAATCATTAACGGACATTTTCTTACCGAAACTAAAATTCGACAGCACAGCCAGTGGCGTGTCTGTGGGCACTGACCTCTACACTACAGGGTTAATCAAGTACGTCGACAAATTAAATTATTAAATTTAAAAAAAAATTACCGGCTCTAAAATATATCTGATACAGAATGATGAAACTTAGGCCGATGATTTAACTAAATACAGGTAAAAACTCAGCGGGAGTCGCTCTCACTGAAAACCTCATAAATTCGACATTGACGGATATTTCGAAAATTCGATCACTACTTGTAACTTCTTGTGATGTGTCCAAGATAAAAGATATCTTTTATTTTATTCTAAAAACGAACTATTTTCGATTTCTTACTTTTTTAATTTAGAATTACCCGTTTCTCGAAAAGAGTTCATTGGATTTTTTTTGCTAGACATACAATTTCAAATGCAAATTAAGAAGTCTGATAAAAATCGATGAGGTAGACATTTTGTATTTTATTGGAGGCAACAGGGTAGTTTAGACAAAAATTGTGTCAATCATTTTATCAGATTTTTCGCAATTAATATAATTGTTAAATATTTAAAATCGCATATTTAGAAAAAAAAAATCATATGAGTCAAGATATATTTTTTCTTGGAAACACCATAAGGAATCAGATAGAAGTTCCAAAATATTCAGTTGTATCGAATTTGTGGGGTTTTAGTAATTTTTTGTTTTAATTTCAACATCAACATTATGAAAATAGGGTATTAATTAATTATAGGATTTTAAAAGACGTTCAAGATATTTTATTACATGAATCGTTCAAATGGTCATTTTAGATGAAAAAAACGCGGAATGCTATTAAATTAGACAGTGGAAATTGGAGATAGGGATGAAAATGCACCCCTTTCAGTTTTTTAATTGTAGCTCGAAAACGAAGCACGCCATAAGTTCATAGGGAAAATTATTTAGAGAATTGAATTTCCCATCGAAATGGCTTATTTAAAAAATTTAAGAGGAAAATTTTATGCAAAAAATCGTTAATAAACAATTTGAAAAAAATTCGATTTTTGTATTTTTTTACTTTTTTGACTAGTTTTTTTTTGAGTAAAGATAGGTATAGGCATTGCTTCATAGCAAAAAAGTAGATAAAATTTCCTTCAAAATAAGAGGTTGTAAAGTATTTTTGGATAAAAATTGACATTGAAATATGGCCGCTCAAACTTACAATTAGCCAATTTTTCGATTTTTGTCGCGTTTACCCTTATACGTTTTAATTCTCATTTTTTGCAAAAAAGGAAATAAGACGTTCGAGGATTTTCATCACATGGCTTGTTCGAAGGGTAGTTAAAAATGAAAAAAACAGAGGGTTGAAATTGAAGATAGGAGAGAAAATGCACTTTTGCAGTATTTTAAATATAGCACGAAAACGAAGCAAAATTTCGGTATAGTTCATAGGAAAAATTTTGTAGAGAATTAAATTTTCCATCGAAAAGGTTTATTTAAAAAAATTAAAAGAAAAATTTTATGCAAAAAATCTTTAATAAACCATTAAAAAAAACAAAAAATTCGATTTTTGATTTTCTTTTAACTTTTTTGACTTAGTAGAAGTAGGCAATGAAAATTGCTGTACAAAAAAACTAGATGAGTTTACCTTCGAAATTATGCGTTTTCAAAAGTTTTTGGACTAATATTGACTGAGTTATAACCAGTTAAACTTCAATATTTTTTAGATTTTCGTCGGTTTTAACATAATAATGATTATAATTCTTATTTTTACAACAAATTGGTTCTTTACTTAATAAAAAAATATTTCAAAAGTTTTATTTGTTAATAATAAATAAAGATTTTCACAACTTATAGTAAAAAAAGTAAAAAAAAATTAAAAAATCTTATTTTTTGCTTTTTTAAAATTGTTTATTAACGATTTTTTTAACTCACTTTGAAGAATCACTCAAATAACCATCCCTAAAAGTTTGTCAACGTACTTAATTAACATCCTGTACATTGACAAATACGCACGTCACTGGTTTGCCAAATTTTAATTATGTTAATGTTAATACAAAGTTTTCTACTGAAAGATTACTTAGAAAACATCCTGTTTCCTTTTTTATTTAAGATTTTGTTGATTTTTACATGCTTTCTAGAACTGCTGGTATATCATGCATGCTTATTCGACATTACTAACATGCAAGTCGAGCTTCCACGTGACCTACTAACTACCCAAGAAACTAATCGTACATTATAGCTTTTTGCACTCTTCTTCTAGATAAGACCACCCAGAAGGAGATGTTCTCCAGGAAGTGCGTCTCGATGGAAAAAGATATGAAATACAAGTGCGACAATGCAAATGGAGAGCAAGTTGTCTGCGAGACGTGCGACTCGGATCTTTGTAACTCCGCTACCAAGATCAATTTTAGCCTAGTGGCCGTTTCCGGCATCTTCTTGGCCTTGCTCATGCCCAAGTTCTTGGCCTAAGTGATGGAAAAATGTCTAAATTCGAAATAAGAAACGCAATTGGCAACATCGGATTCTTATATATTTAATACGGTTTAAAGAATATGTTACATGGAAATAAATAGCCATATTTATCGTCTTGTACCAGTTTGTATCAATTGCTGCGGTACAGAACCTCTGATAAAATGGTGATAATTATCGTTTTTGTTCGGTTTCCAATAGTTACTGGTACAAGACGATAAATATCACTATTTATTTCCATATAACATATTCTTTAAACAATACTAGATATCTAAGCGCAAAATATTGATAGTCATTTTTTCCAGTTGTAATTCTTAAACCAGTACTAAATCTAGTGAACTTTTAGCTGTAAGGGAAATTTATTAGTTTACCAAATTGATAAAGAGTGGCAACAAAATTATTAGTAGCCACTAGATAGTATTTAGTGATTGTAAGAATTTAGTTTCGCTTGGAAAAATTGGTGTAAAATCGGTGTACTCACGTTTTTGTAATACAATATATAGAAGTGTCGTGATGATGTATATTTGTACGTTACCTAATAATTAGTATCGAGTTTATTTTTTACGTTAAATACTTGGAGGTTTTCAAAGTGTAAAGTGTATTTTCATTTGTTTCAATATAGGTATATGTAATGTTAACAAGTTACCGTTGTTTTCTTTTCCCCCTTATCTTCACTATTGTATACGTTTTATGATTCCAGATAGAATAGGCCAGGTAATATAGAATTGGACGCGACTTTTTTTTCGGAAAGCTGAATTTATCACTATAGATGCTAAATATTATGTACAATAACATATTAGTTTCTACAGTCATAAAAATGGGGGGAAGATTGTTTACAGGGTGGTTAATTGTCACTTTTTTCCGTTCATTTCCACGAGAAAACAGTAAAGTACTTTTTTTTTCGTCTTCAAAAGACCTACAAAACTAGCCCTCGAGCGTCAATAAAATATTGATTAGATCAAAAGTTATAAACAGAAGAAGTTTATTTATAACTTTTGAATTAACCATTTATAAACTGCGTTATTATTACCAGAACGTTTTGGCATCGCATCCTCTCATTCCTTATCACTGTCTAATAACTCGAAATCTGGAAATCGGTAAGTTGAATAGTTTACAAATTATGGCCTTATAAACAAATTAACTAAATGTGAATTTACGTAAAAATTATACAATTAACAACCCTATAAACAATGTTCCCCTTATTTTTATGACTGTAGAAACTAATATGTTATTGTACATAATATTTAGCTTCTATAGTGATAAATTCAGCTTGCCGAAACAAAAAGTCACGAATACGAACTGCTACTAAATCTTCAAGTAAGTAAGTACATATTGATAAACATAATCAACTGCTAATGATTTTCTTCGAAATAATTGAGAATATGGTACATGAAACTGAGTTTCACACCTGTGAATGTATGTAAATACTTACTATGTACAGGGTGTCCCACTTAACTTTCCCACTTCACTTATCTCGGTTAGTTTTGCAGATATAAAAATATTGTTGAAATAAAAGTCGTAGTGTTTTTTATGTTTGTAAGTTTCTGTTTGTAGTAACAAAAAACAATTCAAATTTAAATGTCGGTGTGACGGATACAACTTACTATTTTTTAATGAAACACCATGTAAATTATTGCATTTTTAAATGTAAAATTTTATTCTGAACATATGTGGCACTTATTTTTGACAGTTTTATTGTAAAATATCGGGAAACGAAAACATAAAAACATAAACAACAGTTCGAACAAATGGCAAAATTATAGAAAGAGTAATGAATATTAACAGAACAAGAAATATATAAATGATTTTAATAATTGTTCTGTGAGACCCATTTCTCTGGATGTATAATTCATATCTTTTCTTTCAATTAATTGATTTACATCTACTCTATTTTTTAAATAACCCCACAAGAAAAAATCCAGTGGACTAAGATCTAGACTACGAGAAGGCCACAATGTGGTGCCTCGCCTACCAATCCACTCTGTAAAATTGTTGTTTAAAAAGTTGGTAACTTCTCCAGTATTATGACATGGAACTCCGTCTTGTTGCCAGATTATTACCTTCAACTGATTTAATTGAATTTCTGACAGTCTTCTAGTTCGTTTTGTGGAAACTAATTATTTTCTACCTGTTTAGACCAGAGCGGATCTGTCGAAATACCTCACTTGGATGTAAGAGGGAGCAAGCTAATTTTTGCTGGAATACTTTCAATACAACTCACATAATAAAAGTGTAGATCCCTAGATCTGGGCGAGGTCCGGAACATTTTCAAAATTGCAAGTTTAAAAAATTTAAAAAAATACCTATTTTATCTTGTTTTACTTATATCTTGGAACCTATGCATTTTGGAAGAATATTGAAGAGGAAAAAAAGTTTTAGAATTGAATTTTGCACAATATGCTGTAAATTAAAAATGTTTAAATTTATTACCGATATTGCAAAATAGCAATAATTGACGGAAAAAATGCAAAATAATAATAAGTTTTTGGATAATTTTTGAAAATATTTTAATTGCTCCGAGGGCATTCTAATTTTGGTAAAAAAAACTTTAGAGTATAATAAAACAACACACCAAATTTCATTAAAATCATTCCGATAGTTTTCGCAAAATAATTTTTTGAAAAAAATTTTAAAAAAAAATTTTCGAATTTTCAAAATGTAGCACAGCCTCAAATAAAGCATTTAGATACTTGAAAATTTTTTCACAAAGAAAAGACCGTTCAACCTTTCAAATGGTTTTTGAAAAAGTGAAATCGGTTGATTAGGACGGTCACAATAAATTTTTAAAGTTAAAACACTTTTATTTTTAAATAATTAGATTATATTTATCAATTTGCAATTTAGTTTTTTTCAAAAATTATAATTTTAGTGGAGTGAGAAAGTTAAGTGGGACAGCCTGTACAGTAAATAGTTATCTGCAATGATATAAAAATATGGTCTCCAGGTTAAAAAAAAAAACAGTCCACGTCACACAAGATATAATAACCTATATAGCCATTAAAATTGAAATAGGTATGTAAATATTATTTTTTTCACGTTGTTTACAGTAATTAAAGAAAATAAATGATACCAATATATATTGTTATTGTCTATATTATAATACCGATAGCCATATTTATAAAAACCCAAGCGACTTATTGTAACAGAGATTTGAATGTCTGATTCTAAAAATTTTCATTAGACAAATTTTATCCCTACCTTTATAGTCTTGTAATAATTTTGGTTGACCCAAAATTTACGCAAGATTTGAATTTTGCGCTATTGGTGCAGTAGAGTGTTGCCAACGAAAAAAAAGGCAACGTGGCAGCTGACAGTTTAGGTATATTATTAAGCTGTGGTTCAGGGTTATTAAAAAAAAGCGTTACACAAAAGAACAAGGCGTTTTCATTATTGGGCAGTATTTTAAAAATAGTGGAGGTTTGTCAGCTGCAGTTGGCAATTTTCGTACAAAATATGGACGGAATATTGATTTAACTTCAACTGTGAATTGTGAAGAGATTCATTGAAAAATTCACGGAGAGTGGGTCAATTAGTGATTTTAAACACTGGTGGTCCTCCTTCATCAAGTCAATCAACACAAAACATCGAAGCAGTTCGTGAGAGTGTTGCTGACTGTCCAGAAACATCATTTCTGCACCTTCGTCAAGATTTGGACATTTTCCAAAAGTTCTCTACAGCGTATTCTCACGAAAGACTTGCGTCTTCATGCTTACAAACTTCAATTAACTCAAGAACTGAAGCCTATCGACCACGCAGAACGAAGAGAGCTCGTTGAATGGATTATGAAACAAGTGGATGCTGATGTTTCGAACAAAATCATCTTCAGCGATGAGGCTCATTTTCATCTTAATGGCTTTATCAATCGACAAAATTGTCTCATTTGGGATAAAAGACGCCACGAGTTGAGAAACAAATGCATCCACAACATCACTATTTGGTGCGGATTTTGGGTTGGGGGCATCATCGGATCAAAAATGCAATAACAGTTAATGGTGCTCCAGTTTTGTACCTAAATTGCAAGAAATGGATGTAGATGACATGTAGTTTCAACAAGACGGCGCCACATGCCATATTAGTCCGAGAAACAATTCAATAACTGCATAAGTCAGTTTCTGGTCGTGTAATTTCCCGTTTTGGTGATCGGAACTGGCCGCCCAGATCACTCGATTTAAAGCCGTTGGACTTTTCTTGTTTTTTTTTAAGTCTAAGGTTTATGCCGACAAGACCACGACCACCCACTACGTGAAGGAGGAAATTCAGAGCTGTATCAACGAAATTCAACCGCATTTATGCAAAACGATCATGGAAAATTTCGATAAGAGTGCGTATGTGCCAGCAAAACCGTGGGGTCTATTTACCCGATATGCTAGTCCATACATAACCCTATATTGTATACTTTAAGAATCAATAAAAAATTTACAATTTTTAATGGAAAACCTGTGTTTTCTATCAAAATTACTTCTTGCATGAATTTTGGAACACCCACTACTTTTGGCCACAAGAAATTGTTATTTTATCACATTGTGATTAAATATAGACCATATTATTGATAAAATATTTTTGTTTGTCTATTTTATTAGACCCGTTTTGTAAATATTCTCCATCCTATTTGAACAGGAGAGACTATAAGAATAACTAACAAAAAATTGACGTTATTTATGTAGAACCAACATAGTAAGTAGTTACGGGTTTATAAAAAATTGTTTACAGCAAGTTTCCTATTGAGGAATTCCGAGGAAAAAACCTTGACGGCTATTTTTATGGATACATTGTTTAGTTTCGGCTATCACAACACCGAAGCTTTGTTAAATCACAAATTTATTCGGTAAAAAATATCTATTGAATTTATTATTAAAATACAAAATGCTCTGTACAGATGAAATAAAAAAAAATAGTAATTTTCAATAATTATTTTTCACTTCCCAGGCAACCAACTTTACACCAGCTCATTATGTTGGTGGCATGCCAAACAACGTTAAATTTTACTTATACAGGGTGTCCATGAGGACGTGCACAAACTTTAAATGAACGTTTAGACAAAAATAAGCAAAAAATGTAAAAAGAATAAGAATAACTGACTACGTCGAAAAAATTTCTTATCTTTCTATATTTTTGTATCTAATACAGTTTAAACTATAAATTGTATGGTCTTAAATAGCCATATTTGTACCAATTTAATATACATTACAACTGTTTGGATTACCCTGCGATTGCAACTTGACAAAAAATTGCATTTGGTATGAGGTGGGTACAAATTCAATTAAATAAAATTTAATTTACAAAATAGTAATCCTAAAAAATTAAAACTCAAATTTTGGTGATAATTATAATTTTCATATCATTGTACCTACTGTTAAGAACAATAAATGACATCTATATACAGACTGTCTACTATAAGGGCCAGTCCTATGAACCTCGCTTAATATACGACGCATGTCAAAAATAATATATAAAGAATTTTGACGTACATCGTGTATTAGCGAGATACATAGGAGTGGCCCTCTTATACAGCCTGTATTTTTACTAGCAAAGGCTTGACTTTCCAAAATTACATAAATTGATTTAAAAATGATTTAGAATTATTGTAACGGTAAGTTGTACCTAATAGTATGATTGAAAAAAAAAAACGTAGGCATCGTAAAA